GAAATGAAAGGTCTGGGTTTCTTCAGATTGTCATGTAAACATAAGAGAAAAGGAACACTGAGGTAGGCCTGTTGACCATACATAGCAGGCCTAATTCACTTGCACATATGCAATGTAACTAATATTAATCACTGAATTTTCCGTGAGGCTCATAAGGATAAATTTATATATAAAGTCGTTTAAACAGAATTGCCAAACTAAAACTATCATTGTTGTGGATTATTATTATTATTATTATTATTATTATTATTATTATTATTATTATTATATTACTATTATTATAGTCACAATTAAACATTAAGCCGTCGCTGTATAGATACTACGAAATGTGAAAAAGACATTTATGTACAGTTCAGGACATTTATTATAGGAAACGTTTCGCCACTAGTGACTTCTTCAGTGATGGTGATATGATTATCACGCTGCCAGCACTGAACACACGTACTGTCAAGAAAGTAAGACTATGTCTTGAGGCTCTATTCTAATCTCATGCATAACCTGCGCTACATGGTTAAAGAACTAGTGTTTACGATTTACCCTTGCAAGAACCTGCTGGACGTCTTTAAATTAAATAAAAACTCAATTTAAACTCACCTTTTATCATTAAAAATATAGTCATTGAGAGGATTTCTGTGATTAGGATTGAAGAAGCAACTCGTGGCGAAACGTTTCCTGTAATACATGTCTTGAACTGTATATGTCTTTTTCCACATCTCGTCGTTATCACCAGACATCTTCTCAGATACGATGAGACTGCGAGCCGAAAGCATAATATATTTCATCACAATACTGAGAGATTAAAATTGACGTCTTTTACAAGAAGTTATAGGATAAAATGAAGAAGGTATGTTTAAGTTAATTGTTCTCGGTTCCTCAGTCTCTGGTTCTGTGTCTCCTCCTATTGAGCCAAACACTACACCTTTCTCACCTTCCCCACTCCTCTCTCATCACCCACAGCTCCTCTTTCCTAGGAATGGTACTACCGTCGCCAAGAACAGCTAAGCTCCCTAGATTCTCAGCAACTTTTGTCAAACCCCGCTCTTCATTTCCCTATCTTCCTTCTTTTCCTTCTTCTTCTCTTTGTCCCCTTCTCTTTCATTTTTTCCACTTTCCTCTTTCCCCAAAAACTATCCTGATGACGTTGTCCCTTCCCTTTCCTCTTCTCGCACACAATCGAGGTATATGCAAACTCGAAGAACTCGGGGTGAGCTACACATTTACATAAACATGTACCTACACAAATATGAGAGAATACATGCAAGCAAATGCGCAATACAAGCACAGAGGCTGAGTATACACGTAAGCAAGTATGCAATACAAATACAGAGGCTAAGACTACACGTAAGCAAGCAACACAAGCACAGAGGTTTACGGAAATCAGACAGGACAGACTTTCTCTTTCTTGACTGTCAGGGAGACTCCGTCATAGTCACCTGCGGGAGACATCCGCGAACAGGAGGTTTAAGGTAAGTTACTGTTATGGCTGGTGTTTTGATTAAGATTTATTGTAAATATTGTATTACCAAGTAATATGATAATTTTATGAGTGCCTCCAACATCAAGCTATCCTCGTTACGATTCATTAATTTTCTTACAAATTCCCAGATATATACATTTGAAAAACGACGAAATTTTTAAATATTCACGTGGAGCAGCACTCAAGAAGTTGCCTCTCACGTTGGTCATTCAACCCAAGGAGCAGTAGAGACTCAATCCTACAGTTTTTAACCACGAGAACGATGTCCTACAGATAATACATCCCAGTTAACGTAAACAAAAAAAGTTTATTTGCGGCAAAGATTACAGGGATGCAGGAAGCACAGCCATTCTTGTTGATAAGTTCATCTTGAACTACCAAGCACAGTGTCATGCTTCCTTCTCCTCCTCTTCTTTCTCTTCCCTATGGCCACAGTTCTAGGGGTCAACAAAGAGAAATTAATAGATCATTTGTGAAGACTAATGACTATAATAAAAGTCCTGAGTCAGAATAGAGAATTTAATAGCACGCCATCAGTCAAATGTAATGCTGCGTCAAAATTCTACTGGCCAGGACGAAGGCTTCAAATTTTTGTTAATTTAAAGCCCTTCAAATAGAAGAATATTATAGTCGCAAGAAAAACGCTGAAGAAAAAGGTCATACAGCACTGAACCTCAGGAAAATAAGGGCATGTAGAGGGGATGGTAAGGGCTAAGGTACATAAAAAGTGCATACGTTAAAAAACACTCTCCTTAGAAATCTTTCGAATGATTGCGTTCTTCTGTACTATTTAAAATAAAATTCTTGTTATTATTATTATTGTAATTATTATTATTATTATTATTATTATTATTATTATTATTATTATTATTATTATTATTATTATTATTATTATTATTATTATTATTATTATTATGTTATTATTATTATTATTATTATTATTATTATTATTATTATTATTATTATTGTTAATAATACTATTATTACTATTACTGCAGTTATTATTACAAAGAGAATGAGGAGTGACAGTGAGACTGTACGAGAGGAAAGAGCAATTAACACCCACGTCTCCCACACAGAGAGACTTTACTCCCTGTGGCAACTCTCTTACGCATACCCCATATATATATATATATATATATATATATATATATATATATATATATATATATATATAATATATATATATATATATATATATATATATATATATATATATATATTATATATATAGGCAAAACAATCACTATGAAAAATAATTAATTTTCAAGCGCATTCGTGATTTCTCACATTTTCAAGGAACTGTAGAAATAATAGAAAAGACAAAAGGCTTATAAGACCAAGATAACACGTGACGGTTAACATCCGACACCTCACCCATTCTTTTATGATGATGCTGGTGAGGCGGTCAAGGATTTGTCAGATACAGCTCATATTCTTCCTAGATTTTAATGATTTTAATTTGATAAACATAGCTTAAATTCTTCCCAAATTTTATTAATCATAAATGAACCTAATTTATGGAATCCTAAACCTATATTCATATTGAAATCAAAACTATTTTTTATGAAATTTGATACAACTTTCTCGGCATTTTGAAAATCACATGAATAAACAGAGCATTAGACTCTTTTCCAATTCTAGTGCTATATATGTTGTTATAATCTTCAAAACTTTTCCCAGTCTGACCATGGTAAACTTCATTACATTTTTTTACATGGAACCTTGTACACACAGCCGTTAGCATTTCGGGGGGAATTTTTATTCAGGTTTTTATACTGTATCAAGATTTTTAAATACACCTTTGATTTTAAAAGTTTTAAACAGAGAAGGTATATGAAGGTTGTCATGGTAAGGAAGAACCTGAATATTCTTGGTTCAATATGATTCTTTGTCCTTTCCTGGAGTGTAATAAGTATTTCTAGCAATTTTAATAGATTGATAAAATCTTAATAAAATTCTTCCCAGCAGAGCCATGTAGTACAGATACGTTGATAAACAATTTCTTGTTGAATTAAATAGTCTAACTTATTCCATAAATTTTACTTTTAAGATTAAATAAAATAACTCATTGGCTTTTATAGATGTTTTAATTATAAATGGAACCATGACTTTAAATTAAAAAATATACAGAAAACCAACAAACAACTGTTCTTATATGCACTCTTCTTCTTCTTCTTCTTCTTCTTCTTCTTCTTCTTCTTCTTCACATCATGAAAGACTTAAACTTTCTGTATTCTCATCAACGTTTTTGAGAGCTTTGCATATTTGCAGATTTAAAATACCAAAAACACTTAATTGATAAATCCTCCAAAATTGCTAGAAATACTTTTTACAGTTCTCATATATATATATATATATATATATATATATATATATATAATATATATATATATAATATATATATATTATATATATATATATATATATATATATATATATATATATATATATATATATATATATATATATATATATATATATATATATATATATATATAGGGGGTGGTAGGAGAAAATTCTCAAACAGCTTCAGGGAGAACCTTGAGTTTTCCCTGAAGCAAGTTTATTCTTTTCTCTAAGGATGAGGGTCCCCATGACAGTTCTAGAGGTGGTACCTCCCTATATTATATATATATATATATATATATATATATATATATATATATATATATATATATATATATATATATATATATATATATATATATATATATATATATATATATATATATGCAAAACAACCACTCTGAAAGAATAGAGAAATTCCAAGCGCTTTCGTGACTACTCACATTATCAAGGAACTATGAAAGTAAAGCATCCAAGGAAGGTATATAAGGGGTCTGGCCAACACCTCACTATCAGATCCCACAACGGTTAAACACCTGACGCGCGCCGGCCCAACTGGACAGGTCCTTTGCACAACTCACCAACAAACTATTCTACCCAAGAAAATTAAAAAAATTATTATTTGTCCAGTGTATTATTAAATTCTTCCCAAATTCTATTAATTATAAATGGATCCAATTTATATAAACCAAAGGAAATATTCATATTATTGTCAAAACTGCTTTTTATGAAACAAGATTCAATTATATTCCTGTCGACCATGGACTTGCTTGATACTACTTTCTCAACTTTTTGAAAATCAATTGGATGGTTAAAATCTCTTACATGAATAAATAGAGCATTGGAATCTTGTCCAGTTCTAATGCTATATTTATGTTGTTTTAATCTTAGTTCGAGATTTTTACCAGTTTGACCGTAATAAACTTTATCGCAAATTTTACAAGGAATCTTATAGACACATCCATCAGCATTTTGGGGGGAATTCTTTATCAAAAGTCTTTTTACTGTATCAAGATTTTTGAATACAACTTTAATATTAAAAGTCTTAAGAAGAGAAGGCTTTTAATATTAAAGTTGTATTCAAAAATCTTGATACAGTAAAAAAACTTTTGATAAAGAATTCCCCCCAAAATGCTGATGGATGTGTCTATAAGATTCCTTGT